TTCGCCATATTTATTACAACGTTTCGGCCGTTGTACGCTCCGGCCTTCTTCAGGTGGTTGGAATGTCGAACTGAACCCTTTATTTCGCTCACTGAGGTAGTCTGTTCTAGTTCCACGTGCCATGTTTTAATGGATGTCAGTTATCAGTTATCTCCTGTTAATTTCCCACTGCCTTAATCAGTTATTGAACTCACACTTTTTGGGTCCTGTCACTGGATCTAACTGACGCCTTTATCCACTGTGCCATGTGTCTTTGAGGATATTTAAGATTTTTTTTGCTGGTAATATTTTTTTCCAAAAATATATTGCTGGTAATACTTTTTCTTTAAAAATGCGTCGTTGGTAATATTTCTTTCCTTCAAAAAATGTATTGCAGGTAATATTTTTTCTTCAAAAATGTATTGCTGATAATAATATATTGCTCCTCATAATTTTTCCTCAGAAAATTTATTGCTGGAATTAAAGCCTATTTTTACCCATTCATAGTGTTTGACCCCAGTTTGGTGGTTAACTCTTTGCCCATAGCTGGGACCCTAACAGGTGCTACCACCCTGGGTCAGGTTGTACCAGCAGTTAAGAGGTGGTTCCATGCTCCTCAAAACCTCCTGATCAGAAGCCTTGCTGTTGGACGTAGTTTATTGCCCTACCTAAAACGCGGATAAGTTTATCGTCTTACCCAGGACGCAAATAAAAACGGTCGTTAAGTAGCAAAAGTTACTGAGAGTAAAAAAAAAACGTGGAAGTTGTGGCAGCTATGAGCAGTTACGTACTGAAAGGAAATGGTATATGGAAGGAGAAGAGGTTTATGTCATCCATGTCTATCCATTCCCCCATATCTATAATCAGCCAGTCAAATGCCATACGGAAATTCACCTCTTCTCCCCAGCTATGGATTAATTAGTAAAAAACGTATGTAAAAAAATTCTTACAATATAAAGGTTTTTCTCTGGCTTTAAATAACCTGGAGACACTGTAGAATAATGCAAAGCGGTTTGGACTGAGAGTGCCGAGTTCGAATTCCAGTCGGATCCATTACATGCACTTACGTGCTAATACCCTTGGGAAAGATAGGAATCCTGTTCTTCTCCCCCCCCTCCCCAGCTATGGGTATATAGCAGGACAGACTGGGTTCTATATTCTTTGATGGCAACCGGTCTAGGAGAAAGTAACTCTGCTCTCTAGCCCTGGCGTAGTACTTACTATACAGCTAAAGAAAGGATCGTTCGCATTGGCTCGATGGTCCCGACTAATGATGATGACGACGACGACGACGACGACGATGATGATGATCATCATCATCATGCAAAGACTTGATAAGCCGTAGAAAACGAATCAATCACCCAAAGACCATACGTGATACACGTTTTGGTGATCATGTCTCTTTCGATCCATAACTGATTAGGCAGGGCCAACTCGAATGGTTAGCAATCTTGTCTCGATAGAATTACGACAAAGTAGTGAGTCCCATCCTCACTGGGTGCCCCATTCTTTCGGCCTTGTGCCATATCTAAGCTACGCTTAAAAAATCCCCTGCACTGACTAAGCTGAAGATTTTCCCACAGTCGACTGCTGTTTCGTTTTACGGTAGACTGGTTGCCAACCAAGGCTATAAGACCCACTCTGCTGTTCCATCCATAGCTTGGGGAGAAGGAAAAGAGATAGACACATATAGATCGCAACGTTATTTGCGCGTCAGTGAATGTAACGGGCCCGACTGGGATTCGAACTAGGCTCTCTCATTTCTTATTTAGAGTCGCTATCCATTACACCGAATCCAAATAATATCGGTTAAATGAAACGCTCTTTGAGATTATTCACAATAGCTCGATGCTTCCCAGAGAAGACATTGTCCGATAGATACGCCGTGTAATCTATTCTACATGTATTGTCATAAATTTCCCCGGTAATATTTAAAGATATAATTCACAATCAAGATTGCAAGACAAAGCTTCAAGAAGGTTAAGAAATCTGATTCACTTCCAAACCATTCTCCCCTGACCCACTAAAATTACTCATCTTGTAACGCGTATATCATGAAGATTCTTAACTGAAGGCAGCCAACTTGCTCTTACACCACTCCCCCATATACCAGGAACCGGATCATATTTAAGAGAGATTCACAAAGCAAGCAGAGATTTCTATTCGTGCCTTTTCAATACGGCACTTCGTTCGGTATTCTGAATATATCCCACAATAGACGCTGGCGAGCGTGCGCGGTTTCATATGCATGACAATGGCCACCGGCATTTGCAAATCAAAGTGGTCATGTCGGTCACTGTTTCTCATTTTTCAGAGGTAATTTAATCCCAGGGTACTGGCGCATTGGGGCAGGTTGATTTTTTCATTTTTTTGAGAAAATCTACATTGCACTCAGTTCGTATGCTGGAGCTTGATGTGATAAATAGTGACACCAAAAATTAGATTCATAGCTTTTATCAGTTTTTGAGCATTTAGTTTTAAATATCGTCTAAAAAATATACAGAAATACCTAACTTCCGCAGGTTTTGCTTAAAAACTGACTTCAAAATTTTACTATTTCAAGAATGTATCCAAATAAATTTAATATCTTTTATATTAGATTTATTGAATGGAAAATATATTGAATTTTTTTTTACTGCATTCGATAAGAAAATATTGTAATGTGTAAAAAAAATTGAAATGATTACAAAATGCTATTCAATGGATAAGATTGTTAGCTCATTTGTTAGATAATAATTAATAAAAACAAAAAATAGATAAAAATGTACATGACACAATAATACTCTTGGGTACAAATTATAAGTCAAAATCTTTTAAATTTGCTGTGTTTCTTGAAAATCGCGCCAAAACTACTGTACTGTATAATATAAATCATAACATAATACATTGTTTAGTATAATTTCCCTTTGAAGTAAATGAAGGTCTTATTTAATGACACAATTATTTAGTAATAATGTGCCTTTCATTTTGTCCATATACGCCTATAAGTCTTTCATTGATCACCGGAATTAAATTTTATCAGAAGTAAATTAATCCCAGGGTACTGACACATTAGGGCAGATTGGATTTTCACTTTGTTTAGAAAATCAACATTTCACTTAATGCGAAAGCTGTGATAATTAGTGACACCAAAAAATTAGATTCATATGCAATTTTTACTTTATTCGAAAAAGAAAAAAAAACATGATAATCAATGAATGATATTTTAGACCATATTTTAGGTCATAATTAATAAAATAGATAAAAGTGTATATAACACCATAATACTACTGGATACAAATTATAAGTCAAAATGTTGCATTGTTTATTGAAAATCACACTAAAACTACTGCACTGTATAAATATGTCATCATAATATAGCTAAATTGTTCAGTATAATGTCCCTTTGAAGTTATGAAAGGTCCTATTATGATGAGACAATGATTTAGTCATAATGTGGTTGCGTCATGAATCTTGTCCATATACAGATTGTAAAGCTTCAGTAAATTATAAATTTTATAAGGCTTGTGTTATTTATTATGTCAAATCCCAACTTTCAAATTTGAGGGCAATACCACGGTTCCAAAATCAACCTATCTTACTTGTCTAGAAGTTTTCAACCTCTTTTGTCCAATGCCTGGATTTCATTATAAGTCAGAATGCCATTCCTTCACTTTCAAATATTATTATTAAGAGAGTTAAAACTGTATATAACACTGCTGGTTAAAAATTATAAGACAAAAAGTTTTAAATTTGCATTGCTTATTGAAGATACAGTAAAACTACTGCATTTAAACTACTTACACCATAATATAGCTAAACTGTTCAGTATAATTTACCTTTGAAGTAAATGAACGTCTTATTTGATGGCACAATGATTTAGTAATAATGTGCGTGTTGAAGCTAAACTGCCAGTCATTTGTGGTTTAACAGGTGATGGTTCCCAGGCATATAATTATTTTTGGTGGGGGATTGGCTACTGTATTTTTGAATTTTGTAGAGATTTGTTTTTTGGACCGGATGTGATGCTCGGAGCCTCTGTACAGAAGATGACTTTTTTTAATCTTTGGTTTTGCTTTTTAGTACTCACATCCGGTTGACATATCTTGTGAAATGTAGCTGTGGATCAGAGAGAGATCTTGGAAATCGTCTGTGTAATCCTTCAGTGTTCCAATTATATAGACTTGTACACGTGTACCAGCGAATCAAATCTGTCTTGGATATTCTTTTGCTCGATCTCTTGGCTACAAGCATTGTAATACTTGACGTTGAGAAGCCATCACTGTCAGACATGTTTCGACTTGAAGGCACACTGTAAATCAATGTAATTTCACCTCTTCATCATGGCCGTTCTTTTACAAGCATGCCCAGCTTCTCAGAACCATTTGTGTTTCTTTAACAGTCACGTAGCCAAGCTACAACTATGCTGAGCGGACCTTGGTTACAGTTCAAGGGACACGCGTATTTTGAATATTCCTTTCTCCTATACTGATTAATGTACACAGAGTGTCCAGTCTGCCTTACTATTTAACTCATAGGTGGGGGAGATGAAAATAAATACTTGCCAATTTTCGTTTTTTTTCAGTGTTGATAGAGTCGAAAAGCGTCTCCGCGTCCTTGCGAGTGATGAATTATTTTCCGCCCTACAAACCCTATCCCACGGACCAAACGTCGTACGTCTCTCGTTGCTCTGTCGCTATTTCCATGGCAAGTGTTCAGACAGAATACATTCCTTAGTTCCACCAGTTCTAACTTTCACAGATAAGACCCACCATGCTACGCCCACTGTAGCGAATCACCCTCATTTCCTACGTATTCGATTAGTGAGATGTAAGTGCCACTCGAGCAGTTTCTTCTCACGAACTGCTACACTGTGAAACCGTCTCCTAAGAGGATGCTCCCGCAATCACTGCAATCTAAACCTGATTAATAGATTAACCATTATCATCCTCACGTATCCCCATTAACTTTCCCCCTTAGTCTGTAAAGTTCTACCTTGAGTGGCTCTTGGACCTTGCACAGGGTGAACATCAAAAGTCAAAATGGCCAAGATCTTTTTTTTTTCTTCCTTTCTTCTTCTCGGTTTTCTTGCTAAATCTAAACGTAGGCTAGTTACTTTTACTTGGATGTGAAGCCGGGTAAATATCACGAGAAAGGAAAATAAATAATATGATAATACTCAATAATTTTTTTTTTTTGTAGAGAAATGTCACATGTTACGATTTATTAGCGTGCGCCTGAAAACAGTTTCCAAGTTTGGCAACTCAGAATTAGAACATGTTTCTCTACTTTGGTTTTTGGCACAGGTCCATAAGATCGGTGTTCCGTTAAGGAGTTAACTCCCTTGCGTAGCAAAAGCGCAGGTGTGAATAATTTGCGAATCGCCATCCCATACAAAGAGCCCAATATCTCACTGACTCCCTCTCTCTCTCTCTCGTTGACTCTGCCCAACCGTTACTGCCTCTCGGTACACACACACACACACACACACACACACACACACACACACATATATATATATATATATATATATATTATAAGGTATTACATTCGAATATATGTAAACCGCTACATAAATGTATCCATGTTTCGATGACTAAGCCTCTCATCAGGCAGTGGTTTATATATATATATATATATATATATATATATATATATATATATATATATATATATATACAAAATGTAAAGTCTGTCTCTGTAAGACAATATATATATATATATATATATATATATATATATATAAATGTAAAGTCTGTCTGGGAATATATATATATATATATATATATATATATATATATATATATATATACTATAATAATCCTGTATACTAGAATAATCTTGGTTCTTGGTTTTTTTCTTTTATTTCCAATTTTTCCTCAGGTACCGATTTGTTCTACTGCAGGTTGCGCTATCCGAGGTTTTTCAAAACGAGTACTACCATTTATACACACACACACACACACACACACACACACACATATATATATATATATATATATATATATATATATATATATATATATATATATATACATACATACATGCGCAGCAACTTAAAGAAACAGACAAGTTACTGCAATTAAGCCTTTCATTCAATTTTCTTACATTTGTACAATTTTTTCTTTTATGGACATATATATATATATATATATATATATATATATATATATATATATATATATATACGGTGATTTCAGATTTTAAATTTTTCAAAGAGAATATTTAAATTTTTCAACTAATATATATATTTTATATATATATATATATATATATATATATATATATATATAGTGTTTTGCCATGTTTTTTATTTTCTAAAAACGGACAGTACGTTATGACCGTGTTCCTAGTTGTTATTTCTGAGGATTGTTATTCCTTTTCTTCCATTATTTATTGTCGTTTTTGCTTATCTGTCGACGAGGCTATAGCCTCTCCGTATGTGTTTATGAGTGCTCATGGTCTGAGAGATGTAACGTGAATCTTCTTTATAAACAAGTAGTGGTATATCCAACGCACACCCAGCCATATATATATATATATATATATATATATATATATATATACAAAAAAAGAAAACTCATCTTAGCGTTTCATCTTCTGAGGGACTTCATCAGGGCATATATCTTGATAAAGTCTCACGGAGGACGAAACGCGTCGTCTAAGATAAATTTACCTATCGTCTTTTTTCATATGGCCCTTTTACAGATACTGTGTGCTTGTGGGCAAAATACAGATATGAATAAAATATAGATGTAAACGCAATATACATAAAGAAAGAACAAAAGGAATATGCCGGACATGTTTCGTCCAATTCGTTATCCATCTTCAATGGGTTTGTTGTTAATTATTTTTCATAGTTGTCTTTTTAAAATGTATTGTGTGATGCATATTGTATGATAGGAGCATTTATTGTGTATTATATATATATATATATATATATATATATATATATATATATATATATATATATATAAACCTAAAAAGACCAGACAAACCTACAAGGTTTTACCTAAGTGGATCGTCAGGAATAGCTGGCTAAAAAGAGTTGACATAAGAACGGAATATATAGCCTATAAACTTAAAATCATATGTTTATAGGCTCTATATTCCTTTCTTACGTCACCTCTTTAGCCAGCTATCCCTGACGATCCGCTTAGGTGAAACCTTGGTAGGTTTTACTGGCTCTCTAGGTTTAGCTACGTCTGCTCTACTTAACGTATTGAGCACTTTATTTAGATATTTTGCTTACCCGTATCGGTTTTTTGTTGTCTTTGGACTTTGGACTTGCATGCTAGACGATTATTTTCGGTTCTTTATTCTTTCTTTTTTATACCATTTTTTTCCCTTTGGTATTGGTTTGATTATTTACAAATTAAGACACCGAAGGTTTTCCGAACGAGTATAATTTCTTATACTTATAAGATTCTTACTAGTATAGTGGATATTGAAGTCAACAACCAGAGGCAACAGTCTATTTGATATTAAACAAAACTGTCATGGCCAGACGAAAGCATTTAGCATGAAACAGACTTACACACATTTATATTTACATACGCTGTCCCTATTGAACGCTTTAAGTCATATATATAGCATAACTTGGGGCACCTTGGGGTGGTGTAATGGTTAGCAAGCTTGTCTCGCTAGAACAATTACGACTGAGTAGTGAGTTCGATCCTCACTGGGTGCCCCATACTTTCGGCCTTGTGCCACATCCGAGCTACGCTTGGAAAATCGCTATATAGCATAACTTAAACTGGATTTTATTATATATATATATATACATACATATATATATATATTGTTTATATATATATATATATATTGTTTATATGTTATTTTTATAGATACAAATCTTTAAGTAAATACGCTGTTTTATAATAAACAGTATTTACAACATTTACTGGCCTGAATGTCCGAGAAATATTTGTCCTCCGACAGGAATCGAACCTGTATCCTAGAAGGAAACGTCATATAGCCTGACGTGCTACATCATGTTTAATTTACCGATTTTAAACTTCAAATTTCTCATGATATCCCATGATTTTTTTTTTATATATATATATATATATATATATATATATATATATATATATATATATATATATATATATATATATATATATATATATATATATATATATATAATGTGTGCGTGTATGTCAATTTCAGAATCATGTCATTAGACTGTGAAACAGTTTTATATTTTGTTAATTTTTTTTTTTTTTTCTTTGTGTATTATTTTTTTCCATCCAGTTCCAAAATTCCATCTATTATAACATTTGAGGAGAAAACGATCAAGTTAGGAATGTTTATGTTTTAATTCTTTCTTGTCCTCTTTATCTATTTCTTTCTGCCTTTCTCTCTTTCGTTCTTTCTTTCTCTCTCTCTCTCTCTCTCTCTCTCTCTCTGTCTCTCTCTATCTATCTATCTATCTATCTATCTATCTATCTATCTATCTATCTATTTCTCTTTCACTCTCTCTTTGCGTTCAGGGTATGATGATAAACTACATCCGCGTCTTGGGTAAGACAATAAACTACATCCAACTTCAAGGCCTCTGCTCCGGAGGCTTTGAGGAGCCTGGCACCACCTCTTATTTGCTAGTGTTCCCAGGTCCACCCTGACCTGCGGTGGTAGCACATGTTAGCATCCTAGGTATGGGTTAATAGTCAGCCCCCAAAACTGGAGTCAAAACACTATGAAAAAATTAAAAATAGGTTTTAATACCAATAATAAACTTTTGGAAAAAAAAAATATTACCAGCAATAGATTTTTGGAAAAAAATTACCAGTTTCATTTTTGAAAAAAATTACCAGCAATATTTAAAAAATATATATTACCAGTAAGAAATATCTTGTGTACATTAAATAACCCATTGAGGTTCATATACGGTAAACTAAACCAAACTAAAATCACTCTTTCTTCATCTCATTACCACTTTCTCTCTTTCTTTCTCTCTCTTGCTCAAAGTTCTTCTCGTCTGATAAAAATCAAATCACATCATCTTCCGCTGTTTTTTTTTTTTAAGTTTATTAAACGATTTTATTATCTTTTTTTTCTCATATAAATTGACCTTTCCTCACATAAGACTTATATTTGATGTTTTCGTGGACAACATTCCTGATTATTCCTTCTGACGTATAAAAATCTTTCGCAAGTGACGTCATGGATTTTTTGGAATTGTCATCAATGGTCTACTGAACTGACATGGGGCGCATTTTGTAGGTCTCCCTAGAGTGGATGTGGTATTATGGTGCAAGGAGGATTGATTGATGACGGACGAGTTCTTATGGTGAATGAGTAAATTGTAATGTCTGAATGGGTCGTGAATCAAATTAGCTAGGTATAAGATAGTTAGTGAAGACCAGCCTTACCCCCTCCCCCTTTTCGGCCTTGTGCCACAATTTTGTATTTTTACAAAATAAATCCCGGTCTACTGAACTTGCTGAATAAATTCAGGTGTTCTGATAATGTCGGAGGGTTTGCGATGTTTTTTTTACGCTTTCACATTATTGATACGTTTTCATCTTCGATCTCTTCAACTCCTTAGGAACTTTCAGGCGAAAGATCTGTCGATTTTTAAAAAATGGAGATTTCTCTAGATCGCTATATTCAGTCTTTAAAACCACAATTACAGCGTGCCTTTTCATTTCTTGAGTAAGCTGATGTTATAAAGTAATAACCAAAAAAGTATGTCCTGATATATCTTCCGCACCCTCTATATAGTGATTTTCCAAGCGAAGCATAGATGTGGCACAAGGCCGAATGTAGGGGCACCCAGTGAAGATCGAACTCCCTACTCAGTAGTAATTGGTCTCGCAAGACAAGCTTGGTAACCATCACAACGCTTCAAGGTCCCCAAACGCACCCTCTATATATTGAGCACTCTTTGGAATTACCCCTACCAATTTGTATTTTCACTTTTAATTTTTAATATACTATATTTCTTTTTAAAACAAGTAAATATATTAGAATTACTTACAGTATGTAAAACTATTTTCATATCAAGTATAAGTATGTATATTACCAGGTCACAATTTTATTTAAATTTATATTTAAATATTATTTTTAAGTAAAATTTGACAATGACGGCAAAAAATAGCTAATTCATTTCTCTGATTTAGTAACCTTTTATGTTTTATAAACTTAGTAATATATAGTTTCTCATGTAAGTACAAAGGACATGGGTTATTTAATAATCTACATCTTCGAGCTTTTCATCTTAATTTCATTTTACTGTAGGTGTTTTATTGGATTCTTTTAAGTGCTTGTAGTACTTTGAGACAGGTGTTTAGGTTAGAATACGTTTTATTTAACTACAATTATATATATATATATATATATATATATATATATATATATATATATATATATATATATATATATAAATGCTTTCTCGTTGCCGTCAATCTAGTACTGTGCTTAAATTCGTAAAGTCAAGGTACCAAAGAGGAACAATTACCAATCAAAATATTTATAGAAAATGTTAATTACTTTATAACGGTGAGAAATGACTAGAGCCGGGATTCGAGGTCAGGACCGATAACTCTGCAAATTCATCATTGGATTTTATATAACAGAAGCACCAGGCCTGATTTGGCAGCAATATTCAATGTATGGACAAATGGCCGACTTATAAATGTAAAAAGGTTAGATTCTGGTGAGGAAGGATATCTGCACGTGAGTGAGTATAACGAACCAGGCTGGAATTGACTAAGTTCATGATATAAAGTTTCGTAATAACTAAAAATATATGACCTGATATATCTTACACAACCTATATATATTGAGCACTCTTTCGATTAATGTCCTCCTTGAAATTATCACTACCAATTGGTATTATATATATATATATATATATATATATATATATATATATATATATATATATATATATATATTTATATATATATATATATATATATGCTTTCCGGTACAGAAAAAACCTCTTTAGATCCGAGGTGCTTTTAACCGACTCGGCCATGAAGAGCATCGGTGATTAAGCAAAGTTGTGTATAATGATTAAAGCTCACGATAATTATCTGAGTCGATCTCTGATAAGTATTGTGAACATTATTATTTTTTATCTTTTAATATGTTCATATCTATCTATCTATCTATCTATCTATCTATCTATCTATCTATCTATCTGTTCATATCTATCTATCTATGAATATGTTTATATCTATCTATCATCTATCTATCTATATGTTCATATCTATCTGTCTATCTATCTCAATTTGTTTCTATCGATCACAGTTTGTTCGCATCTTAGTGTGGCTTTATTCTCTCTCTTTCTCTCTCTCTCTATGTTACTCTCTCTATGTTACTTTGTTCTATCGATTTGTTCGCATCTCACTCTCTCTTTATTTCTCTATCTCTCTTGTTCTCTCTCTCTCTATCTCAGTTTGTAATATCGATCAAAGCTTGCTCACATTTTAGTCTCTCTCTCTCTCTCTCTATCTCTTTTTCTATATCTATCTATCTATCTATCTATCTATCTATCTATCTACATACAGATTATGGTATGCTTCTTGGTTTGGTTCACTCCCAAAAATCTAACCAAAGTAACAAACATTTTGGTGAAGAAGTAGTTCAGAGTCAGGTCAAGTACTTCTCAGCACGCCCTTGTAACCCCCCCCCACAAAAAACACAAAAAATATATATATATATATATATATATATATATATATATATATATATATATATGAGTGTGTGTGTGTGTGCGTCTGTGTGTGTGTGTGCGCGCGCGTGTGTGTTTGTGTGTGTGTGTGTTATAGCTTTGAGTAGATATCTATATTTTAAAGCGATATCATTTTCGTCTACCGTCTTGCGTTTTTTGAGAGCCTTCAATAAAGAAGGTGTGCCTCATCTGCGTCACTGTTGTGTACGGAGAAACAACCGTACAACACTGGCGTTGCTTTTTGACTTCTCAGCAACGAAGTTACTTCACAGCATAGCAAGCATCAACTGCACATGTGAAGAGAACGGCACGTCTTTGTGAATGACTCTCCAAAAATCCTCACCGGTAGACAAAATTGTAGAATATATAAACAGAAAGATCTACTTATAAATCCTATCCACTAAATGTAACGTACATAGCAATAAAAAACAATAAAATATGTTGAATTATAAATAAAAATCTATTAATTCCTTATATATATATATATATATATATATATATATATATATATATATATATATATATATATATGTTATGGGGTCCACCCTTTTCGGATATAATGGATTCGTCCTGCTGCCATAAAATAGCCAGTCAGGCAGGGAAGATGAGTCGTACATGAGTCGTACCGGAGTCGTCTGTGAGTGTCGGTAGTCGGATAGAGTGAAGTATTCTCTTGTAGAAGTCAGTTACAAGTCAGTTCTCGGAGGACGAATAATTTTTATAAAAATTTCTCGGACATTCAGGACAGTAAATGCTGTTTAATACTGTTTATTATAAACAGAGCATTTACTTAAATATTTGTATCTATAAAAAGAATGTATTGATATTATACTCAAAGCAGAGTCAAATAATTTTATAAAAACTTGGACTTATTCCAGTAAGATATCTTTAATCATTTTCAACTGTTCAAAGCTTAATGGAGAACAGTTGGACAATTTTGCTGTTACACGATTTGGAAAATTTTGCTGTTACACGATTTGGACAATTTTGCTGTTACGCCCGGTCTATATTTCTGTAGGTATGTCTCTATGTGAGTGTTGTTAGGAAAGTGCTGTTCGTTATGTATGTATGATTGTGACGCTTGTAAAATCCGCAAATTGACCGAAACGCGAAAGTGCTGGATCGCTTTCGCTTAACAGGAGGGCGAAAAAAGAGCGAGCGAAGAATTCTTTCAAATGTGCCAGAAGTGAAGAAACTAATCAATATCAACACCTGAATGCCCTCTACGGAGAATGGGATTCTCTATATAGACTGCACCCCTCCTTTTCTCTCTCACCCTCTCTCTCCTTTTCTATGTTTCTCTCTTTCTGTGTTACGCACACACGCTCTCACTCTCTCTTGCCCCCTTGGAAACACTTTTTCCCATCTCTTACACTCAAGCTTCCCAAACAAACCGCATAATTGCTATTTGCTTGCAAATTGGGATGCGTAAAAGTACACGTCCACCCAGTGTTGTTTGCACCCAGGAGAAATTATCGCGCCTGTTTGTACGCGTAAAGAAGAGGCGGAGAAGGCGGAGGAGAAACATCTATCTATCTATCTATCTATCTGAATATTCCTTAGCCTATATAGATAGAGAAAAAGCGATAAATACGATTATTAAATGCGATGAAACACACACACACACACACACACACACACACACACACACATATATATATATATATATATATAGTAATCCGTTGGTATAATCCAGGCGAGTCCTATTAACACAACATAGAATTTGAAATATGTTTTAAAATGACTCACAAAAGAGCACTCAATGTTTATTTTCATTAAACTGAGCAAATTTTCTTTACAATTGGAATTAAGATACATTTAGTTAATGACCATTTTCACCTATGAATTTTAATTTTAAAATGCGCAGGATTTTTCAAAGTACAGGTAATAAATCCGTTGGTATATAATCCAAATGGATCCTAGTTATATTAAATATTAAAACTGATCCACAAAAAGAGCCCAATGTATTTACTATAACAGAGCATATAAATAATATTACACAACAAAGTCCAAAATTATCTCATATGCGGTTGACGTATAGAACAATTTCAACCGACGAAAACGCTGTACACCAGGGTTGTATAAGACTGACATAGTTTTCGCTGGTTGAAATAGATCTATACCCTCCACATATGAGGTGATTTTGGCTATATATATATATATATATATATATATATATATATGTATATATATATATATATATATAATGTTAGAGGTCAATACATTATTATATATGTATGTATGTATGTATGTATTGACCTCTAATATTATCAATATATATATATATATATATATATATATATATATATATATATGTGTGTGTGTGTGTGTGTGTGTGTGTGTGTGTGTGTGTCGTGTTAATAAGTTTACGGTAGATGACGTGTGTTGTATATTAGGTTATTGTAGATTTGTTATTTGTGTACATTTGTGCGCAGTGTGCTTTTAATGTTTCACGTGTGCAGTAGCGATTTAGCTTAGAAGCGTTCCATTTTTGTAAGTCTGGTGAATTAGATCGTAATTACGATTCCAATGTAATAAATTATAACCATGGAATATCAGTGTTTGAGTCTTTTATATTATAATCTTACTCTGTCCTGGACATTGAGTTCTACCTGGATTCTATCCTCTTGGGAATTTATATATATGACACGCTCGTTTTTTTTCTCTCATTTTTTTCATATTTATTAATGTATTATTTTCTTCATATCTGAGTGTTATTTTCTCCAACTATTATATCTGTTGTAGCCAGGGCACGACCGACATGGTCTTTGGCCTAAGGAAAATCAAAGATTTCTACAGCGAACTGCTCAAATGTTTGTACGCCATCTTTTGTCAATCTGACAAAGCTGTTTGATAGGATAAGCAAGTCAGGCCCCTGGATAATCTTAGAAAAAATTGAGCTGCCAACTAAAATTGTTCACCATGATCATCCAACGCTAGTCACGTCAGATGCAGATGCTTATCCCCGCTCCCCCACAAAAAAAAAAGAACAACCCCTTTTCAATCCGAAAAAAGCGTCAAACAAGTCTGTAAACAGCCCACGCTACCAATACCGATTTTTATTATTCTTTGGCACTATTCTGGGACAGAATTGAGGAGATGGATGGCAGAGACAACTTGTATATTTGCACACCTAAAAACAGTAATTTGCTCGACTGAAAACCTCCCAGGGCCAATAAAAAAGACATCGGTTCAGCTTGTCAGAGAGCTTTTATTCGCGGATGACACTATTCTGTTTCTTTCTAATTATTTCACGCCAAAGCAAGACAACAAAATCACTAAGATTGTAAGGAGTTACCGAGTAGAAGAAAATATGAGACAAAGAAAACATTATTAAAACGAAACGAACAATAAACGAACAGGAGTTCAGAAGACAGAAGATAACAATTAAAAATTGCACTTAAAGTTTTGAAGATCAAACTTGACTAGAAAGTAATTAACTGGAAGAAAGTTCTGTTGTTCATTATGACGGTCGTCTTCGAGTATAGAATCCAGAGGTTAGCAGTGAATATTTCGAAGACAGTAGGGAAGCGTTGTTCAGGTTAGCAGTGGATATTTTGGTAAAAGTAGCAGAGCATAGTTCGTCCTTCTGTTATCTCTTCGCCTGACAAGCTGGACTGGACATTCGGGTAGAGTAAACAAAATGGCCGCCTTTATACACGACGGATTGAATGTTCTACGTCTTCTGATTGGTTAACCTTCCATTGGTGGACTATAAAGTGAGTCAAGTCATTTGGGCTAACTCACTAGTAGATAAATATACACAAAAAAACTGCAACAATTTCCACATACAAGAAGTGCAAGAAAAGAAATCTAATGAGTTATTCCCTCACAGGTTCGTATCCTGTTCACAGTGCCATGTAGAATATTGTTTAGCTTGCAAGTGGTCTGACACACAAATAGACTGGTGTAGTCACTTCAAGCTGAAAATGCAGCCCTGAGTGATTTGATGGAGAGATATATGGGTGAATTGAGTCCACTCATGCAAATGTGTTGGGCAGGTCCATTCCAGCAAAGTGGACTAACCCACCTGATGTATTAGGTACTCTCCTATAAATGAGGTAGATTAACTGGCTTGCCTTTACAAAGAGACATAAGAAGGCGGCCATGTTGACAGGTAAGTCATTTGACTACTACAATTAGTATAGAACTTACGGTTGCATCTAACCATTTCAACTGTAAAATAATGAGACCTATCTGCCAATCTAGTAGAGCCCTTAAATGCATAAAGTCTATGTACCAAAAAGGAAAGCCCATCAGAACAATTACCATGAAAATATTTAGAGAAAAGGCACAGCGTGGAGACGCTACGGCGTCGGGAAAATAATTTCCCATGATTTTTCTCGAACGACCATATCTGCTCGAGGCGTATTTTAGCGTAAACAATGGGAAATCTGTTGTTTAAAAACAGTAATTTGACATTGTTAACCAGGCGCTTCCTCTGTAGCTAAATGGTATAGCACGTCAGGCGAAATAACAATTCCGTCTAGGATACAGGTTCAATTCCTGTCGGAGGACACATACTTTCTACGATATTTCTCGGGCATCCAGGCCGGTAAATGTAGTTAATACTCTTTAGTGTGAACTTAAATATTTCATCCATAAAAATAACGTATAAACAGAAAATATATTAAAATATTCGTCGGACTTAGTTCATTTCACATTATATATATATATATATATATATATATATATATGAAAAGTATATATAAATATAAATAAATATATATATGTATAATTATTTATATATTATATGCGCGGTACTTATTAGAAAGCGCTCAATATCAGAGATAGAGCTAAATATATATATATATATATATATATATATATATATATATATATATATATATATATATATATGTGTGTGTGTATATAAATAAAAAAAGAACAGCAAGATATATAATCCGGTGTTCTTATAGATATTTTATTTTTACAAAATAGTGCTCAATGTAAATTTACAGAGCATTCATATTATAAATTAATTGATTTTTAAATCAATTAATATATATATATATATATATATATATATATATATATATATAGTTCATGTCATATTAACTGAAAAACAGTTATAATAAAAAATTCGTCGATTTACCAAATTACAAAATCCATATAAAAATTCTCACTTGAAATATTTGAACTTCAGTGTTGCTATTCGCACGCTCCAACATTACACAACCGTTAATAAATATCTCATTCTTAAAAACATCTTTCGGTCTGCAACACATTTATTTTGTCTTCCAGTTTTGATTCTAAAGGAAAAAAAATACAGCCTGATGATGGAGCCAGAGGTCTTAGAAAGTACTAGCTGAATTAAAATATACACCATATCCATTTTATACATAAGGATCTCATCATTCAGTTGTTTATTAGTAGTATATTGCTTATAATTATGTCTACTAGCGAAGGGATTTCGCCAATAATTGTATTAATATTGCTAATTGATTCAAAGGTATGATTAACAATTTGTATCAAAAATAATTTTACAAACTTTGGGAGTGAGTTCCTTACACCAAAACAATGACAAAAGTTCATATATGCAGCGTCAGGTGCACCTCGGCGTGGTGTAATGGTTAGCTTGTCTCGCTAAAACAATTACGGCTGAGAAGTGAGTTCGATCCTTACTGCGTGTCCCATGATTTCGGCCAAGTTTACGTTAAATGGCATTCTGTTGCCATGTCGAAAGGATCTCGCTCTTCTTCGATTCATAGTTTGTGCATGCTGCAGTCAAACAATATAACTCATTGTGTATGCAAAAGAGTACAGTAAGGGAAGAAATTCAAAAACAAATATGCTAAGTCCAAAAGAACTTACTTTTGCGCAGTATTGTATATAAATAAAGACAAAAGGAGAACTTAGACGACGTGTTTCATCTTCTGATGGACTCTGTCCAGGAAAATGTAAAGGTTTTATTTTGCAACAAGTATTTATAAATGAAAGTAAAAACATAGATTTACAAAATCTTAAAATTTCGTATACGCTCAAAAATATTCATCAGGCTAACTGAAAAGTGACATAATTTAATTTCGAATGCGCTCATAAATATTCATCAGGCTAACTAAAACGTCAAGGTAAATTATGGAAGTTGCTAAGTGACATAATTTAATTTGGAATGCGCTCATAAATATTCATCAGGCTAACTGAAACGTCAAGGTAAATTATGGAAGTTGCTAAGTGACATAATTTAATTTGGAATGCGCTCATAAATATTCATCAGGCTAACTGAAACGTCAAGGTAAATTATGGAAGTTGCTAAGTGACATAATTTAATTTCGAATGCGCTCATAAATATTCATCAGGCTAACTGAAACGTCAAGGTAAATTATGGAAGTTGCTGAGTGACATAATTTAATTTGGAATGCGCTCATAAATATTCATCAGGCTAACTGAAATGTCAAGGTAAATTATGGAAGTTGCTAAGTGACATAATTTAACTACGAATACGTTAATAAATATTCACCAGGCTAACTGAAAATCAAGGTAAATTATGGAAGTTGCTAAGTGATATGATTTAATTTAACTTCGAAAACGTTCATAGATATTCATCAGGCT